GCATAAATAATTATACGTGGTAGCCGTACACTAATAGTGTTCATTCGCTTGTGGAGTGGTTGCGTGCACATCTGTTATACAGGTTTGACTTATTATATATGCAGACTGCTGTTTTTTGCCATTCAGGCAAACACATTCCAACTTTGAAGGAAGCCACAGTGAGTAGACTCTTACTACATGCTGTTGTGGAGGCGGCAAGTCTATTCTATTTTTTTTTTTTTTTACAACAGGAACTTGGTATCCACATAAGGAATTTTTGTAGAACAGCATTTGTAGTTGTATAGTCAGTTTTGATGTGCTTCATTTACCTTTAGAATAATATATCATTCACGATGTTTTTACGCGATGCTGTCTGCAGTATTCAGGAATTTGCGTGATGTATTTTTTTTTTTTTAAGTTATAAAAAAACTCACAATGATAATGAACTGATTTCATCAAACAAGATGAAACAGGACACATTTGTTTTTGCTGTTTGTATTCATTCATTCATTCAGTAGCATGTCCATCGCGGAACCTCGCTGCCATAACAACCCTCCGGAAAACCTTCCTATCCTGAGCAAGATGTCCTGCGTCTGATACACCCATCTGGAGATCATCTGCCACATCCTGCACCCATCTTCTCCTTGGCCTTCCTCTTCCTCTCTTCCCAGGCATATACCCCTCCATTATTGTTCTTTCTAGACTTCCATGACGTTTCAAGTGACCAAAATATTTCAATTTTCTTTGTTTTATTGTCTTTACTAGCCAACCCTCTTCAATATTCAGCTCTTGAAGTATGGATGCATTTGTTATTTTCTTTACCCAAGATATTCTTAAAACCTGTCTGTAACATTTATATTCAAATGCATTTATGCGCTGTTCCGCTTGTTTAGTAAGTGTCCAGGTCTCACAGGCGTATGTTGCAATGGGAAAGATGCATGCTCTTAAAAATCTGACCTTTGTAATTCTATCTGTACTATTCCATAATTTATTCAGTTGTTTTAGTCTTTGAAGAGCAATTGATAGTCGCCGTTTAATTTCTTTCATTGTGTCACCATTGTTGGTAACCAGTGACCCAAGATATTCGAAATTTTCCACCACTTCCAATCTTTCCTCATTAACATATATTTCCTTCTCCATGGCAGTTTTGTTTGTATGCATTATCTTTGTTTTTGCTATGTTAAGAAATAAGTTATGATTTTCACTATTTCTTTGGAGTGAGGTTAAAAAGTTTTCTAAACCATTTTGTGATGTTGATAGTAATACTGTATCATCAGCATAAAGAATTTCTGGTATTTCATGACCACCGATGTTTAGGGCATCATATTGTTCCTTGTTTATATCATCTCTTACATTTCTCATTATATTTTCGGCGTACAGGTTGAACAAATACGGTGACAGCACACATCCCTGACTGACTCCTTGCTTGATGCCAAACCAGTCTGATGTCCTCTCCATCTATTCTGACTGCTGCTTGTTGGTCTTGATAGAGCATTTTTAATGAGCTGCACTATATGTGATGGAAAGCCCATATTCCTCATGATTTCCCAAAGCTTCTGATGTTGTACACAGTCAAATGCTTTTGAATAATCCACAAAACATAAGAACAGATTTACATTAAATTCTCTACACTTCTCTATTATTAAACGCATGTTGAATATATGATCTCTTGTACCTCTTCCCTGTCTAAATCCAGCCTGAGCTACATTAATCTCTTCTTCCATTTTCTTATGCAGTCTTCTCATTATAATTTTTAGTAGAATTTTACTTGCATGACTGATCAGGGCAATAGTTCGATAGTTTGTACATAATTTCAGGTCACCCTTTTTTTGGTATTGGAATGAAGATAGTTCTCTTCCAGTCTTTTGGCCAAATACCATATTTCCATATCTTTTCACATAATGCATGATAGATTTTTATTCTTTCTTCTCCTCCCGCTTTAATCAATTCAGCTGGTATCTCATCACATCCAGGTGATTTACCATTTTTCAGGCTCCTTATTGCCATGAAATTTCATCTAATGAAGGTTAAGGTTCTGCCTATACTGTTACTGGTTCATGTATATTATTCATATCCTCACTGTCATTCATATTATACATTCCGCTGCAGTATTCCTGCCATCTTCCTAGAATTTGTCTAGATCCTGTTAAAGTATTTCCCAACCTGTCACAAATAACATTTAACTGAGGTTGAAAATTTCTTGTCAATAACTTCCTTTCCTTGAACATTTCGTAATCTCTTCCATTTTTATGATGCTGCTCTATTTTAATACAGCAATCTTGTACATACTGATTTTTATCCTTTCTTGTGTACTTTCTTATTTCTCGTGTTAAAAATTTATACTTCATCCTACTGTCATTGGTTTCTCCTTTCTTTTTCAGTTCCCTTCGTTGTTTTATTAGTTCTAACGTGTATGGTGTGATCCATGGTTTATGTTGCTTAGTCCTGGTGGGTATTAAGTCTTTAGCTGCTGTTATCAAGATATCCCTAGCTTGTACCGCCAGTTCATCAGGTGTCATTTCCTCTTGTGCAGACATCAAGACCTCAAAACGGTTCTTCACTTCTACGTTGTATGCATCTGGTATTTTTGTGAGATCAAATCGAAATGGCCTTGGTCCTCGGGTAAGCTTTTTGAGTTTTAATTTCAGATCTGCTTCTAGTAACTGATGATCTGTATCGCAATCTGCACTTCGCAGGGTTTTTGCAGATGTTATGCTCGATCTCCATCTTCTTTGTATTAAAATGTAATCTATCTGATTTTTGGTAACACCGTCAGGGGATGTCCATGTGAAAAGCCTTCTAGGGTGTTGTTTAAAAAGTGTGTTAGCTATTGTTAATTCATTTTCTATGCAAAATTCAATCAATTTTTCTCCTGTTTCATTTCTATTACCCAATCCAAATTTTCCTAAAACGTGTCTCTCATTTTCAGCTCTGCCTGTACCTACTTTAGCATTAAAATCTCCCATTATTATTATTATATCATTCTGATTAATTTTATTTAATGTGTCTTGCAGTATGGCATAAAAATCTTAAATTTCGCCCTCCTCTGCTGTTGAAGTTGGTGCATATACCTGCATGAAAGTTATGTTTTTTGGACGGCCTTTAAGTCTGATAGTTAGGATTCTATCACTAACTGGATTATATCCCATAATAGCTTTTGCTGTTGTTTTATCTAAACAAAATGCCACTCCGCTCTGGCCTCTTACATCTCTACCAGAATATACGAAAAAGCTTCCATATTCATTGATAAAATGTCCCTTGCCACTCCAACGATGTTCACAAATTCCTAAGATCTGAATATTTAATCTTTCAATCTCATCACATACTACTTTAAGCTTTCCTTCATACAGACTTCTCACATTCCACGTTCCTATTCGCATTCTGTTTCTTAGTCTGACACAGTGGATTTCCTTGGTAACACAGTCAGGATTAACTCCGTCATCACGATTACTAGTACTGACCCCTGTATCACAGCTGTTTGTATACTTAGAATAAATATTTAGTAGTGCTATAGTATTGTTAAAAAAAGTACTCTAGGTGGAAAATTATTGCAAAAATCATTTTCTAACTGACTGTGAATTAAAACAAAACGTATTCTTAATTTACTAAACTTTTTAAGCAAATTTGCTGCTTGTTTACTAATTATTAACTAACAGTATAATTATATGTTGTAGTAGACAGTTGTCACTCAAAACTTGCTGTCACCCAAAAATAAAAATAAATGATGAAGAAATTGAAAATGTCACAAACTTTGAATATCTAGGCTCTATAATAAACAACAATGGAGACTGTTCGACAGAAATTAAAAGGAGGATGGCCATAGCAATGCAAAGATTGGAGAGACTTAAAAGTCTATGGTTAAGCACCAGCAAGGAAATAGGAAATTAGAATTTTGAGAGCATGCATCTTCCCTGTGGCTACATACGGATGTGAGTCGTGGACTATCTCTCAGTCCTTAAGAAAGAGAATAGGGGCTTTTGAGCTAAAATGCTATAGAAAGATTCTCAGAATATCTTGGACAAAGAAGATGAGAAATATTGACATCTTAACATATCTGAACATCAAGGAAGATTGGCTAATAAACAGCATCCTTTTTCGAAAGCTGAAATATTTTGATCATATCAAATGCCACTACGAATTGGAAAACAAATTATAGCAGAAGGCATGATACCAGAAAGAAGGAATAGGGGCCGACCGACACGAAGATGGGCACAGGATATAAGTGACTCCTTGAGTGTGAAAGTGCATGAGGCGGGAGAACTGACAAGAGGCAGACTGTGATGAGAGCGACATTCTGCAAAGGACCTGCTACATGATGATGAGTAGACAACTAAAATTAACCCCTAATCATTTATATTCATGTTATACATGATGTGTATTTGTCAAAGTACAAAGGTCACCCCACCCTTCCCGGATTCTGTGAATCAAAGAATTATCACTAATTGTTCTTTACCTTTGCTGGAATAGCTTCCAGTTTGTTGCAACACATTATTTATATGTGTGCTCGTGTTGCATTTATGTTTGTCTGCAAGAACCAATATTGTCCTATCTTTTAAAAGAACACATATTTATCCACACAACGAAATGTGATTGAATAAAGTGTGTTGCAGAATAATTAAACTGTAGTTTAATCTGTGTATAAATCTACTCGATAAAAAAGTGAACACAGACCTGTCTCTCTACTTGCACAAGAACGGGTATTCCTGTTGACCTATAAATAGTCTGCTGTGGTAGAACAAAGAGGACAACAGATGGAGAGATAGGATTAGCCACGCCGTTCTATCAAGGTTGTGTTTGTGTGTCTGCCGGTGCAACCACTGTTGTCTCTCAGGCTAATGTGCCATGTGTGAAGACTGAATGCTATCCAGATCTATCAAGTGCAACACCTTGCCATGTTTGTGTCCTAATGCAGACAATTTTAAGATAACGTGTGTGCTTTGTTTTCTCCATATAATGCTTGCTCATCTGGTGTCTACCTGTAGACCCAGTCCTGTAATAAGGTATTCTCTTGGCGAACTTACCTCACACTGGAAAGGCTTGAAGCTGCTGTGGATATGCTGATGCTGTTTGAGACCGCTGGAGGTAGCAAAGGTTTTGCCACACTCGGAGCAGGCGTGGCTGCGGGCACCCAGGTGCTGGGATCGGATGTGACGCTGGAGGTTGCTGGGGTCGGTGAACACCTTGTCACAGTTCTCACATGGAAACTTCCTGTCCGCATCGTGAGTCAGCTGTTGGACACCAGTAATCATAGGTTGAGGTGTGTGGGCGCGCACGCGTCTTTCGCGGCTATGTGTGCATGTGCGGGAAATATATAATGGTCATTTACTTTAGTTCACTACATCTCGGGTGCTCCGAGAGTTGCTTGGGACTTCCCGGGGAATGTCTAACAGTATTGAGTTACGGTGTGAAATAGTCACCGACTAACTCTGACCCTAATTCTACACCCCCCTTCCCCCCTTTCCCCCGTGATATTGAACTTTCCCAGGAAATCTCGTATTTCCTGAGATGGGTAAACTAAATTACAGTATCTATATAATTTAAGGAAAAATTATAACTGCATTGCTTAATACGTAAAATGCATTTGTATAATTTAAAGAGAACAATTCATTTTGCTGTTAGTGACCCCAAAAAAAAAGACTTTTTTTTTCTTGTACTCTGTGCCACAACAGCCCAATACGTAAAGGATGTAGTTCTAAGGACACTAAAATGCAGATCCGGGCAGCAATTAGATCCCATTGTAAGAGATCCCACCTAGAACACAAGCCTGACGACCCAGTCAACCTCGTCACAACACACACAACGCCAGATATGAACAAGACATTTAAGATAAGGACGCAGAATCTTGCCCATGTGGATAGCCACCAAAAAGTACTGAATACGTGCTGCTAATATGCTCTCTAAATGCAAAAGAGAGATCCCAGGTCTAACCAGCAGGTATTCCGGTGGAAACCAGACTGTATGGATCAGTTGAGGACATGTATAGCAGCACAACCTTTACCAATATTTTGAATCGTATTATGTTGTGTGTCTGGGGCAAACATTATATTAAAAAAAACTGCATAGTCCATCATAGACGCCAGAAGTTGGGAGCTCAAGCCCGTTTGAAACCCCCCCCCCCCCCCCCCACTCCCACCCCACTCCCTTTCTGAAACAATTCGTTGGGAGGTGGGAGGGTCCGCGCTAAGCCCTATCTACTAAAATGTGTGTAAGGGTGCTAAGTGGTCCTCCTAACATGTATAGATGTCAGCTGCAGTGAGAAAATGAGTGTTGAAGTGCTATTAGAACCTGTGTTGCTGTATGCATGTGAAACAATGACTATATGCACACAAGCAGAAATACATTCACTCGCGCTAGAGGTACCGTTTCTGAGAAGAATGAAAAAAATATAATTGAAGGATAGAAAACACACAAAGCAGTCACCATCGTCGTGGCAGATGAAAGTGCTAGATATTAGAACAATTAGACTTAAACAGTGATTTTTTTTTTTACACGTTATGAGAAAAAAATGGAATCGAGAGCTTGGTAACAACTGGTAATATTAATAGAAAGGGAACACACAATGAAAGGTAAAGGTAAATATCTGGATAGCCCAGCCAGATGAAAAGGACGAGACAAAAACATTGAGCTGATACGTGATTTTGGTGATTGTGTGAGATAGCGAGATATGACAGCCTTGGCTTACTGGCACTATATATATATATATATATATATATACCACTGAGCCCCATGGACCAATCAGAAATAGTACATAAGGAGCTTCGAACAGTCAGTAAATCTTAACTTTTTGCACAGACATGCTGCTTAGGGGTTTTCGTCTATGAGACAACCTTCCCGTTTTAGTACCCCATAGCATGTCGTTGGGCGACATCACAAAGCTGAATTTTTAATCACTTTACACACAACGAACATCTTCTTTTAAATGGAACTATATCATCAAAAGTATATATATTAATTTGTATACTTTGTACTTTGGGGGGAAAAAAGGGGGTGGGTCTATTTAGTGAAGAAGAAAAAATCAAGTCAGACTACTTAACCAGCTTAAACAAATCAGTCAATTTTATCACAATAACTCGTCTATCGGTGTCAATAAGAAGAAGTCTGTAACCTGCTTGGTATCTGTCATATGTAAAAACACAGTCATAGAATAAAACATTGCACCTATCGTACCTGGTGTCTCTGAAGGTTAGCTTTCCATTGAAATGATTTGGGGCACTCGTCGCACATGTAGTCACCTCCACTCACATACTCTACAAGCTCAGTGTAAGAGCCGTTACTGAAACATCGAGAATCGGAATGAAAGGTTTAGATAGAAAATATAAAAACAGTTATAAGCTTTCGTAATATCATCAAAAATACTAGGGTAAAGTAAATTAGTAAGTCACAAATGCTTGATTAAAAAAAAGACGATAACCTGCAACCTCAACAGGACAACCAGATTGGACTTCATCATTTCCTTATGAATGTTCTTTGCTGGCAACGATTTTACCCAAAACAAACGCACAACAGCACGTTGTTCTTTGAGGGTACACTACGCAAGTACGGTCGCCATTTTGTTTCTGGGTTTCGCATGTAACACCTAACTTCATCTAACAAACAAAAATATAAATGCGATGTTGCTGTCACCTAATGACACCTTTAGAAACCACCAACTACATTTTCCTGCCATCCCATAACCATCTGTGACTTACTTATCGACTTTCCTTAATAAGCTACATTGAAAAATACCATTTAAATTATCCACGTGTTCATTCCATTTGGTCCATTGTAACAGGATCTTCTCTTTACGAGCAAAGGCAATGCGTCATGATAAGTTGTCCGTCTTAATACATATTCATGTTCAGATAGTCTTTACTACCATGTGTTCACTCTTGTGCTGGTCGAACCATGCTTCTTCCTCCATTATTCTCCGGAACCCTTGTTGCCATTATTGTTCTATCGCCATAGAGGAGAGCAGGAACCCGCAGGCTTAGGCTACACGAGAGCTGCCTCCCCTAGGGAAAATATTACAGGGCGCTGAGACCAGCTTAGAATATTTGCAAGAGGACTCAGCGCCACCCCATCTCCCACTCCACGAACAATGTCAAGGAGTTCTCTTTTTTAAATATGTGTTTAAAACTTTAATATTATTTCAAATATTATATATGTATTTGCTATCCAGCACACCTGTTTGTTATTATTGCTATTATTGTTTTATTATGTTCATTTTTACTCACATAGAAGAGGTTAGACCCTTTCTGTCCCGATGAAAATTTATGAGGACACCGCCTCCCCCCCCCCCAACACTAATATTTTCTTTGCCTTTGCGTCCTTGAAACCATGCACACACACGCAGACACACACACACTCACACACACTCACACGCTCATTTACATCATACTAATTGGATCCCTCGATATTTCGTTGGAATGCAGCAAGATCATATACCATCACAAGCACTACATCTCAGAAGATCAGCTACAAGAGCAAGAGGACGACGGCGGAAATATCGATCGACAACATTAAAGACACTCTATACCTTCACGGAATGACAATAGCTGGTGGCAGCCAGCGTGCACTGGATCGCAGATTATTATTCCTAACGTCGCTTAACGGCAGAAGTGTTTTATAATGATGATATTTCCCTGCGATTTAATTATGTGAATTGTGTTAAGCTTAGATTTGGGAGGGAGGGACGTCGGGCTTTGAAGAACAAGGAGCTGGCCTCCCTGGCCAACCTAAATCATTGGACATCAAGTAAACTCCTGGGAAGTAAAGGCAACCGGCGTGATGTTAAGAACACTGACTGCTGAGTGTCGACTGGTAGATGCTCAATGTGCCAGTGGCGTTACAAATGTCGTTTACTTTTTACTTGACTAGATAAACTCTCTGCCGTGCTCTCATGTCCTGTCAATCTTAGGCTGACTGCAGACGAGACAAATATTACCTTTGGTCATCAAGATCACTGATACGGGTGCCAGTGCTGCTGTTGTCTCTGTCGTGGTCATCAACACCCCTGGTGGCAGCCGTTCTCCTCTCCATATCTAAGATGCTTCCTGCTACCTGCTGGCGTACTCTCATCATCCGTGTTTCAAGATCTAGACAAGTGAACGTCTCCTGAGGTCTCAAGTCAATCTCTGACTGACAAAAGTCACCACTTTGTGTACAAGCTTGGGTCGGTCCACCTGTGAGAGAAAGTACAGATATAGCAAATACGGGAGCTATGAGGCTTATCATGCATCTGCTTGACATAGCCAGGGTCATGATTAATCACAATTTCCAATCAGAACGACACAAATGGAAAAAGAAACACAGCGAAGGGAGGGTGAAGACGCCCCACACAAAATCAAAAGTCTCCAGTAACGAATTAAAGAGCATAAATCCTACACCACAACGAAAGCAAACTACACGCGGTTTGTTCGTCCCCGTGATCACAGAAGCCAAAGATATCATAATATGTCATACCTTCATACTGATTCCCCGATATACAGTTAAACTGTTCAGTGGATATGCAATGAAAGTGATCATCTAACATTCAACAAGACTGATCAACAGATATACATTGAGACTGATAATATGACACACATCCAGACTGATCAATAGGCATACTATGAGGCCCACTGCCCGAAATAAAACATAGACAACCAGGCTAATCACAAGACATACAACCAGACAAATTAGGCATAGGTACAGACTGATTACTCCAGGTCCAACCAAATTAATAATCCGACAGAAACTGACTAATCATTAGATATTCAGTCAGGCTAATCAATAGACATAAATAGACACCGATTAACCCCACCCCCCCCCCTCTCCCCCCCCCCCCAAAAAAAAAACTGATAATCCGACATACAATTTGACTTTTCCGTATGCATTCAGTCAGGCTGTTCAATAGACATACATAGACGCCGATTCCCCCCCCCCCCCCCCACCACCACCATCCCCCCTCCCCACATGAAAACAAACCTAATAATCCGGCACACAAGAGGACTTATCAATATTCATTCAGTCAGGCCGATCAAAATACAATAATACTGATTACCAGACACACAAACATATTGATCGATTACCTGGCACACAAACATATTGATCGATTACCTGGCACACAAACATATTGATCGATTACCTGGCACACAAACATATTGATCGATTACCTGGCACACAAACATATTGATCAATTACCTGGCACACAAACATATTGATCGATTACCTGGCACACAAACATATTGATCGATTACCTGGCACACAAACATATTGATCGATGACCTGGCACACAGTTAATCAATGTCTCAGCATTTGACCAACATTCGCATGCACCTTAGATTTATCTACAGAAAAGAACCGAGCTGTCTGTTTCTGCGACTAGACCCACAGGCCCCGCATATATAGTCACCATAGACATGCAGAATGAGGTTAAGTTGCCAATTTTTCATGGGAAATGAAAACCACAGGAAAGTCCACAGATAACACTAGCAGGCTAGGCATGGTTGTGTGCGATTAAGCTGATGCAATGTGTATCATGTGACACAAGGAAATAAACAGTTTCAGCACTAACAATCATCATATTAATACCGGATTAAAATTACAAAGGAATAAATCTTTATTCGTTTAAATAATATCTTTATCGGACATTGGACATGACCATAAAAGCTGCGATCTCCTCCTGGATGATTTAGGCTCTCATTCTATTCTGGTTGTTCTAAAGACAGGTGGCTCCTGCAAAGTTTTTTTTTTTCTTTTTCTCGCTGCTCCAGTTGGTGTGCCCAGAATATGCAGTCTATTCAGTGATGAATCATTTTGCATTAAAGTGAAAACCTCGCAATGTTTACTCTCTCTCTTTTTCTCTCTCTCTCTCTCTCTCTCTCTCTCTCTCTCTCTCTCTCTCTCTCTCCCTCTATCTATCTATCTATCTCCCTCTCTCTCTCTCTCTCTCTCTCTCTCTCTCTCTCTCTCTCTCTTATGGCATATCCATAGATTCTTCAGTCTTCCTATTCGCACTGCCAATCAGTGCGTCTGCACTCTCATTGCCTTTCACACCAGCATAGCTTGTGAGAATACTAAAGATTGTACGAATCGCTGAGTGCAATATCAGATAAATACACTGTTACCATATATACCCTGCCTTGACCCTCTGTTGAATGCTCATCGAGTTGCTAAGCAACCATGCATTTGTGAATTTCTGAGTTTTCAGCCATTCTAGGACCTTGGACAAAACATGACCTTTATCGTCATGCTGCTAGTGGTGGAAGCAAAAGTTCCACTGCCCTCACTGATGACCTTGCTTTTGGCTTTTGTCGTAAAAGCCCAAGCACAACGCTTTTGACGAACACTGTAAAATTATGTATTAAACAGCATCTTCAGGTGATGTATGAATGTTGATCACAATGGTGTTACTGTGAATGTGACATACTAATAGTTTCAAGTTGGTCACGATGGTGTCACGATGGTGTCACGACGGTTTTATTGTGCATCATTAAAGGTTTAATGCTGATAACTTGTATGCTACAATCACTTTGCTGTCCAATCGTACAAGTGGTCAGAGGCGTAATCGCTTACGTCAGTCATCAAGGCGCATGATGATGATGATGACAGAGAGATGATTTGATGCCTGAGACTAGTGTTTCTTGAAATTAATTGCTAACAGCGGTCTTTGTGTGTATCTTGAGACCCAAGCGTGACCGAGGCCGTTAAAGGTGAACCTCTATTTCTCCACTGAGTGCCTCTCAGTCAGTCCTAGTGTGCGGACCTGTTTGGACATGAGTTGTTCCAGTCAAGTGTGTTTCAACATGGTGTTTTTATTCTGTTGAAGCTCCTGTGAATGGGTCTAATGGGTTTCGTGGATCGTGATATAGACTTAGCGATTCTGTCTGTGTAATTTCCAGAATGGACGGTTATGCAGTCCATGTGGTTATGGGATCGGCAGTGTTACGGCTATGGACACGTAGTATCTGTAAGTGCACAGAAGGTGCCGTGAGCCTTGTGTGAGTGTTAACTAACATGGAGTGTGATTTGGGGGGAAAAGGGGGGGGGGGGAGAGTATGGACACTGATTGTCGGGATGGTAGCGAATCTTCAGTAAGTGACTAGGTAGCAGACTGCGGTCTGGATTTCTTTTTGGCTTTATGTTTAGCCGTATAGTGCATCTACCTTAAACCCTCAGGTTGATGGGTCCGTTAAAGGGGCAGCCGTCAGGGGGTGGCCACTACATTACATATGTGCATCTGCGCGATCGGGTGTGAGTTGCCCGTAGCAGGCATATAGGACATTGTTTACTGATGTGTTCGTCCATGTCTGGAAGACTGCCTAGGTGAATATTTGGGAAGGCAGTAGACTTGACAGTGTGTAATCGACCATCACTCATTTTCGTCGTAACGTATGCCATACTAAAAGTTTCAGGTTGGTCACGGTGGTGTCACGATGGTGTTACTGTGAATGTGCACTACTAAAAGTTTCATGTTGATCACGATGGTGTTACCGTGAATGTGCACTACTAAAAGTTTCATGTTGATCACGATGGTGTTACCGTGAATGTGCACTACTAAAAGTTTCATTTTGATCACGATGGTGTTACCGTGAATGTGCACTACTAAAAACTTCATGTTGATCACGATGGTGTTACCGTGAATGTGCACTACTAAAAGTTTCATGTTGATCACGATGGTGTTACCGTGAATGTGACACAGAAAGCCGTCAAGAATAAACATCCTGACTGCCTTATCGCGGTGTGATTTTGTTGCACGATAATTTCTGTCGGCATGTTGCAAAGATTGCGCAGGAAGCGTTAGCCTCGAGTCCTGAATTGTCACCGTGTAATTTTAATTTGCTCTGACTTCTGAAAAAGAACACAGAAAAATCCATTCAATGGAAAACGATTTCCTATAAATCCAGCGTTTAATGAACGCTGTAAAATTTGGTTCAGTGAGTAACCATAATCCTTTTGCGGACGGCATACACCGTTTACATTCAAAGTCGGATGCTCGCCTGAATACATACGGCTACTTTTTTCTGACCTACCCATGGGTCATAAGTCATTCAAATTATTTGCTTTCTTTATTTCTATTAGTGTTTCTGTCATGCTTTTGTAATAAAACAATTGGAACAAGTTTCAAATGAACTTTCCTTATATATCTGTATGATTAGGGATGATGGGATAAAATATCATATTTCATAGGCTCTTTTGTCTCTGGAGATATTAATTAATCTACTTTTGCAGAAGAAAGGGTTGAAGGGCACGAGAAAGGGTTAAAGGGCACGAGAAAGGGTTGAAGGGCACGAGAATGGGTTGAAGGGCACGAGAAAGGGTTGAAGGGCATGAGAAAGGCCAAGAAGCTCAAGTATTGATACTGGCTGCAACGACATGGGGTCACATTTGCTCCGTGTGAGTCAGTGTATATGTTCATATATAAAATACAAGAGATTACAGAAGATAGTTCACTATATATATGACTCACAGCCCATGGCGATGGTAAGTGTGACATATAGCAAGACCCGCCCTCGTTAACAAAAGTCTTTCACAGTTTGGGATGTCAAGACCATGGTGTCAACATTTGTGATTAGTCTGTTTCTTCTCAGTTGTTCAGCTCTCATCCTTTCTGCAGTCATTTCTTCCTTCATTCTCATTACCTTCCCGATGTGCCCCCTCCACACAACACGGTCTATGGTATTGTGTTTCCATGAGTACACCCCAATACCTGTGTCATTCTTGTACTGCTTGCACACATCTTTATATTGTAGCAGAGGTGAGCCTGGACATCTTCTACCCATCTTTAGTTTACCATAAAGGTTTGTGATCTTGTCCTGCCACCTATTGCCAAGTATTCTTCTTCAGCATCGCATGTGAAGGCTATTTAGCCGTCTCTCCTGGTGCAAACAAACTGACCAAGTTTCACTACCATCAAGCAGAGTGCTGAGAAGACAAGTCTGATAGACAAGAGTTTTTGTTTTTAACGTGAGATTTTATATATATGTTTAAAAAAAAAACGATTGTTGACTGGAGCACATGAAATATATGAGATATTATAGACCAAAATACATAAGACACAAAAATACACTACACAAAGAATGTCAGAAATTGTAGACTACAACACACAAAATGTATAACTTTCAGTAGTTCTAACAAAGGTGTCAGTTTCAGGGCTCCATGTTAGAAAATAAAAGGGTAGACCTACCATCCCATGAGAAGAATA